TTTATGTCAGAACTGGTGCCATCATGGCACCGGATACCGGTACCCATCCCTACATATGACTGTTCCCACCACTAACATGTATATATCTATCTGCTTAGCACTTTTAAATTCAATTTTATGTTTATTTAAGTGTTTGTTTTACAGTATGTTTCACACTCAGTACCGCAGCAATTTCCTAATGTTGTAAACCTCAACATTTGGCAATAAAACCCTTTCTGATTCTGATTCTGACAAACTAGGAGAGGCTAAAGTGTTTTATTATAATGTTAACTGCAGACCATGTTAAGGATAGTCTATAAATGTCTCTCTGTACTGATGTCTGACATTTAACCCCACAGGTCGTATTGTAGGGATCCTGCAGAGGAACTGGAGAGACTACGTGGTAACTTTCCCCACTAGGGATGGGATTCAGTCCCAGAGCAGGAATTCCCAGCGGATACTGACCATACCTTGGGACCAGCGTATTCCTAAAATCCGCATCAGTACTCAACAGGCTGAAGCTCTGCAGGTCTGACTTGACTTACATCTATAGGTTGATTTTATTTTCATGATGTACATTATGGCTTAGTCACATGAGTAAGAATAGGAAACAAACAGTGCTTTTCCAGTGATTGCAGTGAATATTTTGCATTCAGCGATCAATTACAAGTAGTTACGGCAACCAACTGGTCGATCAAAGGCTGAGAATACAACACTGTCAACCTCTGGATGAACGCTTTCAAGGTGATTGCCTTGAAAAGCAGGACTCTATCTGCAGACAGTCGAGGTCCACCCCGGGCTCACTGCAGTCACTCTAACAGCAAAACTCTAGAGTACCCGTGTAATGTCATTTTGTGGTTAAATCACCATCCTGCAGCAACTACAGCAGAAACTTTACATTTGTTTCAAAACTATGAATTTAAGGCTGGACATGATTACACGATATTATTACAGATTGCATTTAATTATCAGCTTTACCCTTTTTACTTGAAAAGCGGACTTATTCCATCTTATCACTGTTCGATTGGTGTTTTGCACCCTTTAAATAAAAGTAACTGACTGAGAGTAGTTGCAGAATTAGTCCCCATCTTCCAAAGAAGCATTTCAAAGCCAACAATACTGCAAATTCATTGCACATAGCAACACCGATTTTGTTTGCGCTCCAGTCTCTAGTGTTACTGTAGCATTATGCTTTTGTCTCATAGTGTGACCAGTGTTTGCTAAGTGCTGTCTCATTTCTATCCCTGTCTTCTCATCCTCACCTAGGACCACAGAGTCGTGGTGCGCATTGATTCATGGGAAAGCACGTCATTCTATCCCAACGGCCATAGTGTACGGGTTTTGGGTCGAGCTGGAGAGCTTGAGACTGAGGTCCAGACCATCCTCATAGAGAACTGCATCCATATTCTTCCTTTCTCAGACGCACAGGTGAGAGCACCTACGTTAGAGATAAATTCAAGTTTTT